TACATGGATAGAGATTTCATCAACTGATATTGAGGAGCAGGTTTAGAGGAAAGTATCTGCAGTTCAATTTTCTATGTGTTATCTGGAGATGTCTACTGAACATCCAAGGTGAGATGTTAATTACAATGTTTGATATTGATTTTGGAGTTCAGATGTGGGGGCTTTAAATTTTATCTATTTGTTTTCATCTTACATAAAAGGCAGAGAGACAGAGGCAGACAGCAGATCTTCCATCCACAGGTTCACTCCCCAAATGTCTTCAATAGCTGGAGCTGGACCACATTAAAGCTAGGGGCCCCAAATCCAGTCTGGATAACCCATGTGGGTATCAGGTACCCAAGGACTTAAGATATCATCACTGATTCCTAGGGCCCACATTAGCAGAAAACTGGAACTGGAAGCTAAATTGAAGATAAATTTGAGAATTGTTACCACACAAATATAACTGAAAGGTGTTTACAATCACCAAAGAAAATGGTGTAGAGAGAGATGAGAAGATATTCAAGAACTTCTGAAAGATTAAAAGGTTGAAGAGATAAAAGAGGAATCAGTAAAGAAAACTGAGAAGCAGCAGCTTGATAGGTAAGAAGAAAACCAGATCACATGTTGAAAAGGGGGAGAAAGTGTTTTAAATTGGAACATCAGGATCAACTGCATCAAATCCTGTTTGTCAGTCAATTAAGATGAAAACTAGGACCAGCATTGTGGCATAGCGGGTTAAGCTACCACCTATGATGCTGGCATCCCATATGGACATTGGTTCTTGTTCCAGTTGTCCAACTTCAGATGCACTCCCTGCTAATGTACATGGGAAACCAGCAGAAGATACCCCAAGTACTTGGGCCCCTGCATCTACATGGAAGACCTCAAAGAAGATCCTAGCTCCTGGCTTTGGCCTGGCCCAGCCTTGGCCATTGTGGCCATCTGGGGAATGAAGCAGTGGATGGAAGACGGATCTCTCTCTCTCTCTCCCTCTCACTCTCTCCCTCTGTGTGTGTGTGTGTGTGTGTGTGTGTCCCTCTCTCTGTAACTCTGTCTTCCAAATAAATAAGATCTTAAAAAAATTAAAAGATGAGAAGTGAGAGTTGACCATGGCATTTAGCTGTATGAAAATTTTGGTAACACTGATAAAAGCAATTGTGATAGAACGATGGGATTCAAGCCTGGTTAGAGTGACTTTAGGAAAGTGAAGGTAAGATACTAGAAACAATGTATATAAACAAAATTACTCTGAAGTGCTCTGCTTCAAAGGAGGGCAAAAAAATGGACTGGTAACTAGTAATAGAGACAGGGTCAAGAAAGTTCTTGTGGGATGGAATGTGTTTGTGATGCCTCTGGGAATGGTAGGAGAGAAGGAAATTATGTGAGCAATGTCCTTTAGGAGTTGAAAAGGAATGGGATCTTACACACAAAAGGAAGGATAGGAAAACGAAAAATTAATCTACAGCAACAGAGAAGACACACCGTGTGACTGCAGATACCATATTAGCTAAATGTTGTGGTGGCAACAAATGGAAGTTCTCTTCTGATTGCTTCAATTTACTCTGTAAATTAAGCTTCAAGGTCATCAGTAAAGAATAAAGTAACAGGTTTAAACAACAAAGTAAAAGTGTGAAATAATCATTTAAGAGCACAAGTGAGGGAATTCAGAAGGAAGATACACACACACACACACACATATACATTATATACGTAATGTCTGGAAACATAAGGGCCCATTTGGGGCTTCAGAAAACAATCTGTTTCAGAATCATTAATAGGACAATATTAGACTAGAACAGAGAAAATGTGAAGGAAACAAGGAAGACTAGTTAGAAGACAATTGTAGTGGGCACAAGAAACGAGAGAGTGGTATCATCTAAACTAGAGCAAGAAGAGTTGGACAACAACTGAGGACACAGATGTAACAGTTATTAAAATTGCAGAACCAATGGGATTGGGCAAGCAATTAGAGGTCACCGAGAAAGTGAATGGAGTGGAAGACGGCCCTGTAGAGCTGAGCTTAAAGCAGTGGAATATGGCAGGACCACTCTTGAAGTAGAGAGCTACTTCAACGTTGCAAAAATTATAACCAAATTGCTCACCAGATTAAAGCTGTAAATACAACTTTTGAGTGAAGAGAAAAAAAGGTTTTAAAAGATTATAAGTGTTAGTAGTCTCAAGCATGTTTCTGGTTTTGATGTCATTGTTATTGTCAGCCATTAAGGTAGAACAATGAAGTGGTAAACTAAGAGACATCTAGGCAGCCAGGAAATATCAGCAATTGAAGAAAGAACGGGATTTATTTGATAAGGAAGGGAATACTATAGCATTTTATAAAGTTGTTTATACAGAAGGCTTACATGTTAGGTAATATTCTAGCAATATCATCTCTTTTAATACTAAAAATAACCATATATGGAAGTATCTCTTATACCCTGGTTATATAGTTAAGGAAAACAAAGTTCACAGAGTTTATATAACCTTCACAAGGTAATGCAATTAATGGCATTGCCAAAAGTCAAACTCACCTTTGAGTGACCCCAAAGGCCAAGTTCTCAACCATTATACAATGAATGCCCTCTAAAATTAAGAAGACTTGGAGAGCTAGTATAGATTCTTCCAAACAGAATTTTAGACTTAAAAATTTTAGAGCCAGAGTCACTCCAAAGAATGGCACATTCCAAGGTATAGTCATATCTGTAATTAGCTAAATATACAGATGCAGAAGTCAGAGTTTAGGAAATCAAGGAATTATGAGCAAAAATATATTAAGGGGGTTTAGAAACATGACACTTGAAATCACAAAAATGAGCAGCAAAGGAAAAGGCCAAAAGTACAGCCAGGTGCTGTCATCACCAAGAAAGGATTTCAGATAACAAACTTAAAGGGTTATTGACAGATGGTTCAAAGAAGATGGCACGGGGGCAGCATGACAGAGTAAAGCTGAGTCTGCGGCATTGGCATCTAATATGGGTGCTGGCTCATGTCCTGAATGCTCCATTTTTGATCTAGTTCCCTTCTAATGGCCCAGGAAAAGCAGCAAAAGATGGCCCAAGTGTTTGGGTCCCTGCACCCACATGGGAGACCCAGGTGATGCTCCTGGATCCTGGCTTCAGCTTGGCTCAGCCCTGCCCACTGTGGCCATTTAGGAAGTAAACCATGAATGGAAGATCTCTCTGTGTCTCCTGTCTGTCCCTTTCTCTCTCTGTAACTCTGACTTTTAAATAAACAAATGTAAAAAAAATTAAAAAGAAGAAAATGATGATGATGGCATGGGAGGAACATCAGGAATAAAAGGTGTGTCATAGGACTAGGAGCAAGAGTTGAAAGGGATGAAAATCTCAGGGCTTGTTTTAGGGGAAAGTCAAACTTCAGTGGTAGCTAGATAAAATGAATAGTCACAAAAAACCAAAGAGATAACAGGAATTTGTATTCATTAAAAAATATGCAACAAATATTAATTAGAGTCCACTGATTCCTCTAGTCACAGGAGAGAAACTGTGGTCCTAAGGAGTGTTGATAAGATGTTCCATACAGCGCAGAGTAGAAGGATCTAGATTTCACTGGTTCTGCACCTTTTTACTACTTTTTATTCATTTTCATTTTATTTGAAAGGCAGGGAGAGAGACAGAGATCTTTCATCCACTGATTCACTTCCCAGATGCCCACAACAGGTAAGACTGGGCCAGGCCAAAGCTAAGAGCTGCGAACCCCTTTCAAGTCTCCCATGTGAGTGGTAGAGACCCAAGTACTTGAGTAATCATTTGCTATCTCCCAGGAAGCACGTAGGCAGGAAGCTGGATCAGAAGCAAAAGAGCTGGGACTTGAATCAGGTACATCAATATGGAATACTGGTGACCTAACTGACCTTTAACCTTTCTGGCATGGTTAAACAGACCTTAAGGAAGGAGGGTGAGAGGTAGAGAGAGGGAGAAAAGGAGGAAGGGAATATCATTATGTTCTTAGAATTATACCTAGAAATCACATTGAGTCTGTTAAAAATTAATTATAAATTAACATTTTTAAAATTTTTAAAAAGAAGCTTCTGTGGACCTTAACTGCATATAAACAGACATCCACAAAAAATTACAGTGCTAAGTGGGATAGAGTTTTAAATAAATGAATTATGAACCAGAAGCTCCAGATCTTCTCTGATCAAGCTAACTAATGCACATGTCATGTACCAGATGCCTCATTTCTCTCTTCTACCTTAAACTGCTGAGTACTCAAAATATTCTATTCATTATCTAACATAAGAAATAATTTGGACCACAAACTATAAAGCATAAAAAATATGCTAGAAAATGTATAACTATTACTAATAGAGCAAACTTGGGTGAAATAATTGCTCTGTTCCCTCTAATTGTTTCTCACCCTCTGCACTTCAGGCTGTATTTCACATACTCAACAAGAAACTTAGTGCTGTTTTCAGTACAGTGGACTTGTGCCAATTTTGCTTTACAGAAACAGGCACACAAATCAGTTAATTGAAAAATTGATTCAGTGTGCCAGAGACTACTAAGTAAAACTGCTCCCTACTTTTAGGAGCTCATGGTAGCACAGGCACACAATTAAGAACTTTTAAACTTGTAGCATAGTGGGTAAAGCTGCCACCTGCAATGCTGGGTGCCAGTTTATGTCCTGGCTGCCCCACTTCCGATCCATCTCCCTGCTAAAGGCCGAGGAAAGCAGAGGAATATGATCCAAGTGCTTGAGCCTCAGCCACACATGCAGGAGAAGCTGGATGAAGCTCCTGGCTCTGGCTTGGGCCTGGTCCAGTTATTTGGGGAGTGAACCAGTGATGGAAGTTATCATGCATACATGTTCACATGCTTTCTCCCACTCTTTCTCTAATTCTGCCTTTCAAATAAATCTTTTTTTAAAAAATCCTATATATCAAGTTTCTGGCTTCTCCTTTAAATGACATGCATACAGTCCAAACAGACCTACTTAAAACATGGTGCTATTCCAGGCATACACCTTTAAAAATCGCAACAAAATTAGAGAATCAAACTTACCATCATTTTTTCAAAGAGATCCAGTACTTCCTTTTCTGACAAATTTAAAGATCTTTCATCATACAATGGCTGAGCTGCTGGAAATTCACTCATCGCAACTTGAGAATCAATAGGATGTTGAATAAGAGGTTTTTCTTTTTTGACAGTAGATTTTCTAAAACTTGTAATTCGGTCACGCTGCAAACAGAAAAAAATAAGAAGTCCTAAGAAAAAGATCAAAACCATGAACGTGAAGAACTGAAATATCAAAATGACACTTATTATACATCATTATTATCTTTCGACAAAATGTTACTTTAAGCAGCAAGCTCCAGTTAGAGATTGTACTGTGTTGAGACCATAAAGCAACTCTTCAGCCTCAGAATCTGGTAGTGAAAATCATGCCTCAAAAGTAAAATTTAATCTCTTGTCATTTCCGTTTTACAAAGTAGGTGAAAAAAAATCTAGGATCAAAGTTCCACGGTTGTTTCTGGAAGAATGTGTCTTTGGTGGAACTTAAGAATCATGAAAAAAAAAAAAAGAGTAAAGAAAATAAAAAGAACTACTGATATCCAATTCTAAGAGAAAATTATGATAATTTTTCTGTTCCTCAAACTGGCAAAAAGTGTGACAAATATATGTGGAAAATTTGTCAGTGCAAGCCAGACAGCCTGGTTTGAATCCAGGCTTTGCCATTTACTAGCTAAGTAACTCTAAATAAGTTACTTGGCCTATAACTATCTTTTTATTTTTAAAACAGGGAAACTGATATTACAGCACAGGTTTATTGTCAGATTTAAAAAATTAATAGCTTACTGTGGTTATTGTTTTTACTATAATTAGCATTATAGTACTGTTACTGTTTTTACTATAATTATTTTTCCCCAGCTTTTTCTTCCCTAAAAAGTAAGGCCACTAAGGAAGCAAAAAAATAAATTAAAAAAAAACTTTTGCATGTACTTGAAATGTAATATAAATATAAATACCTTAGTCCTACAAATACTATTATGAACAACTTGCTATTTTATGAATATTGACTTTGAACCATTGATTCCATGTACAATCTCTACTAATTAGCTTGCTATTTCACATACAGTGAGTTAAGGAATTCAGGTGCATGTAAACAGGACTTTCTATTTTAGACCACAAGACAGGAGAAGTCCAAAATTAGTAATGTACATAAAACTGAATGCAACTCAGTTTTATTCTGGTTTCTGTTAGGAAGCACATGCATGGCATTGTCTCACATTAAACAAGCAGACATGTTAGATATGAGGACAGGGCATCTTCACTGTCACATTACCGGAATCGTTAGAAATTACTTCAACCATACAAAAACACCAAAGATGTTATTAACCACAGCTTATGTAAAATTTCATTGACTTCCACAGAGGGAATATATCTTTTATTTTATTGATTCAAAGAATACTTTCCTTTCAACTAAAAGGTACACTTTGAAAGAAATATTAGCAGTCTTAAGAAGCTTATTTAGGATTACAAAAACGATTTGAGTACATGATTGTTTACAAAGAGATTATATAAATCATAATACTTTGGAGCTGGTAAGAAACTTGAAAAATCACCCAGACCAACTCCTTCATTTAACAGAAAAAGTAACTCACCTAAATTCAAAAGCCTCTGGCTCTTATCTCAGTCTATACATTAACTTAAGATTCATTCATTCAAATGATTTTGAAGTATATTTTCAATTTTTCTTTTAATATTTTAAAAGAAATTAAGTTGGTTTAGATATGTACTCTGCTTTCAAACCCAAGAAAAAATTAAGTAATCCCAAATAAGCTGAGTATACAGTCAAATTTCATTAAAAAATATGGTGGACATGAAAGCATTTACACATGCAACTGGCCATTAAATCAACATATCTCTTTCTCTCCATTCATATCACTTAATATTTACTTTCACAGTAATAGCTAATAGCTTTTCTACTGAGAAAAATACATATTGATCTACCACTATGTCCTTCATTTGCATCTCTGATTTCAATATGTCTTGGAAGGAAAATGAAGTTAAATAACATGCTTTCATCTCATTAGCGCATTAAACACTATTTTACATTATTTGTAGACAGGTAATTTCACACAGAAAATAATTAACACTCCTTAAGATACCATTTAGAAGTTTAGCTATAAAACAGCACATTTAAATTTTGAGTCCAAAATTTTTGGCAATTATTACCATGATAGACTCGGCTTGAAAATATTTAAAGTTTTTAGATTTGATAGAAAATAACTGACTACATAATGAACTTAATTTCCTTTCTATTTCAAATTAATTTCCTTCAATATTAATGCTTAATATATTCACAGTTAATTTATTGGCCGTCAATAAAGAAAAAATTCATATTTACCAGAATCTAGATTTACTTACGGATTGTAAAGAGCATGTGATTTAAGTATATATTAGAATAATAAAAGAAATTTGTTGGAATTTTACACAATTGTTTTGCTAACATTCAAAAAGAAGTCACTGTAATGAATCATTTCATTGTACTATACATTATAAATATCTAGACATTTTATATCTTACATATGTTGATGCTTTAATGTCCACCAATTTTAATAAAAAGGCAACATGCATAACTAATAACATGCTGCTAATACCACCTTACCACATCATCTGCCAAAGTTTTTATTTGAATGTTCTATTAAAATCAAAGGAAATAAACAAAAAGAAGAAATACCAATCAGATAAGAGAATTCCATAGTTCAAACAAGAAAATAATTGAATGATTTTCATTTTTTTAATTTATCATCTGCAAATAATAAGAAAAGAAAATTCAAACATATATACATTGCATTGTTTACAAAAGAAAAGAAACACAACTTTTCAAAAATTAAAAATGAAAGTTTGGTGGAGGGTGTCTATTTTTTAAAAAATATGGCTCCCAAGGTCCCAAAAAAACAGATTTGGATCAGACATAAATACCACAGTTTTCAAATACAAGAAAAGATACATCAAAATCATAAGTCCTTGAAAACTTTTTCAAAGTTCTATAGTGAATAATCATGCTTTCAAGATATCTTTAAAAACAACATGTATGATAGGAAAAATGTCACATTAAACAGTAATGAAATATAAATCAGTTTGGTTTATAAAATCAGTGTTAGAATCTGATGGATATTTAAAAGATCTCTTTATAAATATTATAAATAAAGTTGAATTTAATGATTCTGTTAATATATGCTATTTCTCAAACACTCCTGACACTTTTTTTGTGTGGTTTTCCACTTCTAATACTGAGAATTACTGGAAATAGCATTCTGCTTAATAAAATACAGTGGTTTATAAACTACTACATAACATATAGCAGTACCACTATTCAAAGAATTAGAGTACAACAATACTAAAGTAATATTTAACAATTTAGCCATTTTTCATGATTCAGAAAATACTATAAAACCTTACAGTAACTTGTGATTGACATGAAGAGCAGTTCTTATGTTACACAGTCATGCATCTTTTAGCAAAGAGTATATGTTCTAAGAAACAGTTGTTAAGCAACTCTGCTGTTGTGTGAACATTGCAGAGTATACTTAACAAACTAACATGGTTAAGTCACTACACAATATATTCCTATGGGACCATTCTTGTATGTGCAGTCCACTGATGATCAATACGTCATTTTGTGGCATGTGACCATACACTGAGGTGCCATTTAAGCGATGTGATTAGGAAAGAAACAGATATTTTTAAATTGTATGTTGGGAATTGAGTTTAATCCTTCTGCCACATCTTATATATTTAGTTCTAACAGTAGAAGCTGAATAATATGTAGCAACTTGGTCATCCATGCTAACATCTTTTTACTATGAAAAACAGTCTTCTCACTGAAGGAGGATTCCATTATGAGTTTTAAATAAGTAAGAATTGCTTAATCTCAGGAACTCAAGAAACTGTTTTCAAATACCCTCAATCCAATGCTGTTAAAAAGCACCCTCTCCTGGATCAGGTGTGGCAAATTTACTATTGTATGATTAGATCTTTTTTTTACTTTTAATCCATTAATTCCCTCAGGGGTCTAAACTTCTAATCTTTGTACTATGTCTTCATAACATCCTGCTGACACAAACCCCAATCAATCTTTACTGCCTAGGAAAAAGAACAAGGGAGATTATTTATATCAAAATTAAAACCATTTTAGGAAAGATGAATTCACCCTAGGACTCTATTTACTAAGTACTTTCTCTTTAATTTTTTCAGTGTGTTAGAGAAAACTGTTATACACAATGACAAGCTTCATGATTTCCTGTAATGTAAAATCAGAGCAAGAAATGGCAAACTATCAAAAGTGACTCAACTAACTCTGCTACCATATGAGTGTGTGCCCACCCACTTGGTTTTTTGAGACAGATTATACAATTCTTCAAGCAATTCCTGTTTCCTTTCCTTCTCATCCTTTGGGATTATAAACTCAAGATTATAAACATATCTGTGTCTCCAAAGCGAGTATGTAAATTAAAGGAAAATATTATTTGCTTTAGTCAACTGCTCTAAATTATACACAACGTCAGAAACACTTCAGACATGTTATCTCAGTTCAATCCATATTGATAGTTCAATCATGGGGACAGACATAAGAAAAAATTGCTAGTAATATTTCCAACTGGTATTATGGAAAATAAATTGCTGCTTCTTCTCTACCTCCCGCTACTGTCTTTTTTGGAATTAACATACTTTTGGTTCATATTGAACTACCAAATCAGAGATTATTAGAATTGGATGGAATTTGAAATAATATGGTCAAAGCTTCTCATTTTACAATTAAGAGGATAACATTTACGTTAATAGTACCACCTGCATTCCATTTGTCTAGATCTGAGATTTCCTCATTACCTTGGTCTCTTTCCTCTCCTTGATTCTCAAAAGCCTAGCAGCTGTTTGGTGCCATAGTGATCTTTCTGCAGTCTGCAAGTATCTCTGGTTCAAACCACCATCAGCTCTTATCTAAATTTCTGAAGTAACCCCACATAACCTGCCTCCAGTCTCCCTGCTTCCACCTTTCCTCTCCTACGGTACATTCTGAACACAGTAAACACAGTGATATCATGAACACCAAAATCACATCACCATCAGTTCAGAACTCTCCAATGGCTACTTTCCTTTCCAATGCCAACTCAAAGTCATTACCATGGCCTACAAGGCCCTATTAATCTACAGTAAAAATCTGCTTTCATAAGGAACACTTTTCATAAATAGAACAATATGATTTAGAATTCCATGAGTATTCAAAGAAACAAACCAGCCAAATGTGGACTATTAAAATGGAAAATCACTGAGCAGAGAGTTTCAGAAGAAGTGATTTTGGCCACCATATATTAAAATATATTGAAATCACTGTATAAGTTATAATTAATGATCTGTGACAGAACATAAATTATTCCTGTCCCTCAATTATCTTTATATATTTAGCCAAAAAGAGAACACTGTTAAGGAACTCAGGCATAACAACAAAAATAACACCAAAAAGTAAAAAGTTCAGAAAATGGTAAAGAGCTGTTTTTTTACAAAATTAAATCATGGTAATTTTTTTAATAAATGAGTTACACAGAGAGGAGAGGCAGAGAAAGAGAGAGAGATAAAGAGAGAAGAGAGAGAGAGAGAGAGACGTCTTTCATCCAATGGTTCACTCCCCAATTGGCTGCAACAGCTGGAGCTGCGCCAATCCAAAGCCAGGAGCCAGGAGCCAGGAGCTTCCTCCGGGTCTCCCACGTGGGTGCAAGGACCTAAGAACTCGGGCCATCCTCCACTGCTTTCCCAGGCCACAGCAGAGAGCTGGAGTGGAAGTGGAGCAGCCAGTTCTCAAACTGGTGCCCATATGGGATGCTGGCGCTTCAGGCCAGGGCATTAACCCACTGCACCACAGCGCTGACCCCAAATCATGGTAATTTTTATGTGAACTAACCTTTAAAACACATTGTAATATGGTTTTATTAAAACATATTTTCATTTATAATTACACCCATATCTGAAAATAATTTATATAGTTGTATGCATCTCTTTCACATCATACACAAGTAAACATTATGGATTCAACTCTTAGGTATATGTTACAGGGTTACCATGGAGTTAAAAAACTTTTAAAAATGACTCAAAGAAAGTTTATTAGAGGGCCGGCACTGTGGTGTAGTGGGTAAAGCAGCCACCTGCAGTGCAAGCATCCCATATGGGCACTGGTTCAAGACCCAGCTGCTCCACTTTGGATCCAGCTCCCTGATATGCCCTGGAAAAGCAGCAGAAGATGGCCTAAGAGCTCGGACCCCTTCACCCACATGGGAGACCAAGAAGCTATTCCTGGCTCCTGGCTTCAGATTGACCCAGCTCCACCCACCGCAATCATTTGGGGAGTGAACCAGCAGATGGAAGACCTCCCTCTCTCTCCCTCTGCCTCTCTGTAACTCTGTCTTCCAAATAAATAAATAAATATTTTTTAAAAAAGTTTATTATAGTCGCACTCTTGAATTAAAAGCACTCACTAATATTTTAGCAAGTTTTTATTTTGCAAATCTAGTGATAGTGGTCATTATAATAAGAGCATATTAATCATACATACATACTTATGTATACTGACCATATATTTTCACTAAAATCTACTCTGGAAAAGCAATAAGATTACGCATTAGTCAAGCAATCAGAGTTTATTAAACTTCATTGATAAATAAGCTATATTAAACATAATTTAGTATAGTATTATATGAATATTAAGTATAAAAGTATCACTAGAGTCTCAAGCTCTTAAAAATAAGAAAAATGCCTGATGTACTTATAAACTCTAATGCTGAAACTCTGCAATATGAGTTCATTATTGCAAGAAAATTAAGTTTTAATTTTCTCAATCAGGCAGAAATTAACAAAAAGAGCAAGATGTAAAGATTCAACTCTCTTATGGCTAATGTTATAAAGTAATATAATGTTTTATAAACATGCAATTATTCCAGTACCACAGAAATTGGGCAACTAAATTGCATATAATTCAAAAGTCTCATCACTAATGCAAAAACTTAGTTACACTATTTGGTGTTTTCCTCTTTTAAACAAAATTAGTAAACTAGCCAATACAACAAAATGAAAGGTAAATTATTTACGCAGCTTTAAATTTCTTGCTCTCCAAGAAGGGCAGTTTCCATAAGGTACAGAAAAGCATGTTCAATTCAATTGAAGAAATATCTGAGCATCTACTATGCACCTGGTCAGTGCTGCACAGCAGGAATACAATAGTAAATAAAGGCATGCTTTCTTCCTTTATGGAAGTTACAGTCTAGTTGAAGATCAGAGGAATGAAAGAACAATCACAATAAAAAGATTCTGAGAGCTCTGATTTAGAAGTACCCTATTATAACCTCTGTACACTATCCAAGTTGAAAAGCCCCTTGAGGAAGGTCCTTGAGGAAGGTTCCAACATCAATACTGATCTAAGGTTTGATTACTCTGGAGGACATTCCTGCCCAGTATCTGCTCAGATCAGCAGCAGTCACAGAAAGAAGCAGTGACTATTCAAAGGCCTGCTTCTGACTTTCCAGATCCTTTTTTTTTTTTCATTTTTTTAAACTTTTATTTAGTAAATATAAATTTCCAAAGTACAGTTTATGGATTACAATGGTTTCCCCCCCATAACTTCCTTCCCACTTGCACCCCTCCCATCTC